CAATTAGGACAAATTCATCTGTTCGACTGGCGGCGATGTTTCTTCCTTCATTTACAGTGAAAAATAGTAACGTGCACAATTACCAAAGGCTGTGACGGTTTTGAATGCGGACATGCCAAATATACGTTCAAAGATTTAGCCTTCTATACGGCCTAAAATTAGATGGTTTGAGTAGGGGTTCCAAATTTCGTCAAGAATTCTAGTATTTTGGAAGATAGCCTTCATCCGCCGATGAGACGGCTAAAGCAATGTTACACATGGTCACGCATTTTATTAATAGGACATTCCCTCCTCTATTCGTAAATCCGTTTATGATGTCGCAATTTAACAATAAGGCGGATTATGAAGCGATGAACGACTTTCTTTCGTCTATAAATAACGTGCTTCAACATAAACCTAGCTTAGAATTTTAGAATCCAAGAGGCTATTCTAAAATAACCCTCATGAGACATAACCTGCCTACTTAACTACATTCAACGTTTCAAATAAATCTGTATAAACCTAGTTTTTATTATATCCCACTATATTTATTGTAATACATTTTTTTTTATGCTCGAGTGCACTCTTATCTTTCTGTAAAGGATATTTGCCAAGAAATCTTCAGATAAGTTGAAACGAACTTAGGTATGGTCAAGATTTAAGTTCAAAAGAGCTTCTTTAGGACGTTGCCTCATCCAAGAACACAGTGACTGTTGTCTTTACATCGATGGTGATAGATGTGCGTTAATAGTTAAAATAATATTGTTAAATTAAAACCTCCAATTGGGTATCGTAACCTAGCATAATCAGCTATAATTTAAAATGATATTGAAGAATGATATCAATTATATTGTGATATTGCCAATCTTCATTCTGGAAATATTGGAATCTTTACCATCTTTCAATGCTATGTGAAGAGATGGTGATTTGTTTGTAATATATCCGTAATAAAATACCTGCAAAACTTTGATCTACCAAAAAATACAATATTTATAAGAGAATAACTCTCACCAACTTTACTCTATGGAAACCCGGCTAACACTGGCCAAATCTCGAATGCCCAGCTCGTGCAAAGCCATCTTAATGGCCAGAGCCTACTTAATGTTTCGTAATTAAAATTAACAAATCGTAACAGTGAACAGATGAGGACACAGTTTCCCATTCCAACTTCTTCATCCATAACTTTCCACCCTTCCGCCGTTAGTTTCCGTTTTTTTATATCACCCTTGTTATTATTCAAGGCAGGATCCGTAGTAGCTGCAAGAAATGTCTGAAAAAGGGGGGCAGGTGTCAAAACCTTTAGATCCCGCAATATCACTTTTCAAAGCTTAGATCAAATAGAATTTTGTGTACAAGAAATATTTAAAAAATGAGTTAAACGGTGGTCAGATATTCTCTCAGACAGCCGAACACTGAAGACATTCAACTCTTCTACCTTTAATTCAAACTTGGTCTGGGAACGCCTGACGTATCTTCAGCTCCTGGGAAAACGTAATCGGGTGGGCAGTAAGACAAGAGTTGATTTAGGCCAAGAAACAGGTGCAGCCCCCACACCCCTTAGGCCGGAACCAATGAAGGGAAAAATATGATTACTCCATCCCAACCTCGTCTCAACCAGAAAAATAAATTCTACCTCTCTTTCACTAAGCAAAAATTAAGGAAACAACAGGAGTTTATAAACTCCCAAAAATGGGAAAACTGAGATAGAAACCGACTCGGTCCTATGTGAAGATGATGATGGAGGTGATGACCTAGGAAGTGTTCCCCAAGAACTGCAGTCTTTTCGCTTATTGTACTTTCCTAGTTCCCTTAGATTAGCAATGTTACTGACAAGGCTAATATTTTTCCTGATGGGAGTTGTTGGCTCATAAGGATGTTGATTTTGGAAAACTCGAAAAGTGGTTGGAAAAAGGTCGTAAAAACAAAAAGCGAAATATCTCGAATACAATTGAGAATGTTTTGACAAAAGGGACTTTTAAATGTAGGATATCCTCTTAAAGAATCGACTCCTCACGGGACATCCTGTATAAACTGAGCTTTTTTCAGCACCACTAGCTTAAATCTCAGTTCGAAAATTAGAAAGAACTAGCAAGATTTCTAATTTGGTCATTCTCTCATCGAAATATTTACATGAACCTTCTTGGAGTTGGCACGTGCACACGAGGAAAACTGGACGGGGATGATGATGAAGATGATAATGGAAATTAGTTCCCCAAGCACTGCAGCCTTATTGGATATTCCTTGTAGGCTTATTGTATATTCGTAGTTCCTTAGTGCAATCGAACCTTCTCCTAAAACGTATTAGGTCATTGACTGTCGTTGCTGCAGTTCCATTCCCTGGGTTTTCTTTGTATCCCAGGTTACGTATCCATCGAACCGTTGCTTTCCATTCGAAGATGATATGGGCGGCTGTTTATCCCTCCTCATTGCCTAACCTAAAAATAGGGTCATCATTGAATATACCCATGTTGTGTAGATGTTTATCAGATGCCAGTGACTGGTAGTTCTATCACTCCTGACTTTAGCCTTCTCTAACTGTACCAGTGAGGGTTGTTTTAGCATAAGATTACTGTGACTAGCACTACCATCTAGATCCACTTCTCTTTTTGTCTTTTTTGTGTCCTTTCTGTGATGGAGGATTCTGTGCATATTTTTGTTATCACAGAATATGTTAAGGACCTATGTACAGTCTTGCAGATCCTCGTCTGCCAGGGTGTCCGCCTTTTCATTAGCCTAAACTATTATTCAAGGTAACATTTGAGTCACCAATTCTTGTAGTTTTCCTAAATTGTTTGAAAAATATTGCCTCAGGTTTTGCCCTATTTAGCCGGTTTCCATCTGTGACAAAATATAACGTTCCTGTGGAGCGTACGGGCTAGTAATAGCACTCACATTCCACGATGAACAGTATGTTGCTATATCGTCAGCGCACAGAGATACTTCACTATCAAGTCTAGGGAGTGCATTTATAAATATGTTGAACAAGGTTGGCTTTAGGATTGAGCCTTGTGGGTGGTCCCAGCATCAATATTATACAGTGGTGAGACAGTTCATCTGAGGTTACTCTAAATGTTCTGTTTTGAAGGTAGCTGTGAACTATCTTAACAAAGTAGCTTGGGAAATTGTATTTCGTAAGTCTGTAAACAATACCTTTGTGCCAAACTGGATCGAATGCCTTCACCATGTCAAGCAAAACCATCCCCGTATGTTTTTTAAAATTAAAATTTTGTGTCACGTGGTCGACAACTCTGGGTAATTGGGAGGTTCACAAAGCTTTGATGATGAGTATTTACTACTCAAAATCCTGATATCTGCCTAACACGTCTGTGTGTACAACTATCTTCAGAAAGTGATAATATAAGATTTGGTTTTTCTTTAAAAAACAAAACAATTCCATGTTTTTTTAAAATAAATAAGTACTTACATTACTTATTTAAACGTTTATTTGGACCATCTAAAATATAGATTCTGATGATGGAATAAATAAGTCATGAATTTACTTTTTTTATAAGAAACCATTTGGATTTTTTTAATAACAACAAAAAAATTAAAAAACAAAAATCATTCTAAAATTTTTGAGTTATTTAAAAACACGTATTAAAAATTACCTAAAATAAAATATAAAACAAATGATTCTTCTTTTAATTGGAGGTATTTTCATTATAAAATTATTAGGCTCTTCAAAATATTTGAAAATTAATTGTAATTAAAATTAAAAATAATGTAAATTAAATATGAATTTATGTTTTTATATTTTATTTTACATAATTTTAAATTTTAATTGTATAATTATTTTTATAGTTTTTTTAAAAACCCAATAATTTTATACTAAAAAAATTCAAATTAAAATACGAATAATTTGTTTTTGTATGTTATTTTATACAATTTTAATTTTAATCAGAACTAATTTTCAAATGGTGTTCTAAAAGCCTAAGTATTATCTATTTTAAAAAGTATATTCTCACACTTTTGCTGCTTTACTTTTGATGCTTATATCACATAGCACATTCCCGTGTTCGTTTTTTTTTTTTTTTTTTTTTTCAGTTCAACTCTTTGAGGAAAGGGTTAAGATGAAAAAAAGCTTAATTCGAAGTAAAAAACAGTTGAATATAAAGTTAAAAAGGGTTAATATGATTTTATTGGGTTACTTCCCCAATACCCACAACCCGGACTTTCCTTTTGTCTTAGGTGATAGGATCCCGCTTCTCAAAGTAGCACAGTAATATTTCTGTCCATCCTAACCATACTGCTCAAGTCTTTTTTGCACAATTCCATCCTGAGAACATACCAAATCACCTTAAACCACGATGACCTCGAATTAATAATTTCAAAATTTTTAAATTGTGGTTAAGATATTTTAAAGCCAAGATTTAAGATTTACTTAGTCTTTCTATACTACACGTTTATTCTGTATTATGTGTGTTCATTGGTTTGTTTTTCATTATGCTTTTGTAAAGATTGACAGCAGGCAGGGATGTACCAAAATATTATTTTTTGTTGTTAATTTATATGTAATGTACCTTCTTGCAAATAAAGATATTGCAAAAATTCTCCTAGTGGGGAGGATTTGTCCTAATATTTGAATTTCGGCTTGGAAATTTGGACATTTTTTAAAAGATTTTTTTGAGAATGATGCGTTTCCGGCTGAAAAGGTCAGTGATGAAATATTCCATTAAATATAAACAGGTGTCATATCTTTTGACTGTCACCCGTTCAATTGGCAAATTAGCATCAATATAATGCCAAATTTAGAATTTAGAATTTAGAATTAGTTAAAAATATATTTAATTATAATATAATTACTTGTTTCAATTAAAATTAAACGTTAGGAACGAAGTTTAAAGTTAAAAAAATTAATGTGATGATAGGGGTGATTCAGATTCGTCCAAATGAGAAATAAGAACTCGATTGGTGGAAAAATAAAATTTGCACTCTCGAAGGACGAATTTGCCTCCGGTTTCCGGATGGGACATCTTCAATACAAAAATTGTGATTCAAACTTATAATTTAGAAAGTGGTGGGCGGGGGGAGAAGTCCAATTTTAGATGGGCCAACTCAGAAAGTTGGCCACTGGAGCCTAAATTATGAGTCCCTGAGATATTTCTAGACGTTGGACCAAGATATAAAGAGAAGGGTGCGGCAATACGGATTCATTTGCAATCGCCGGCCATTTGAGCAACCATGTCTCTAGAAAGGGCTATTCGCGCTAAGGTACATTAATTTAATATCGAACAGTTTACGATTTTCATCACGATAACATCAACTACCCGTTAAGAGAGCTTAAAGTGTATAAACATTGTACTGTGCACATTTGAGCTTCTTAACTCTTTTTTTTTTTTCAAAAACACATACATTATTAAATTTTTTATTTATTTACATAAAATATTGCATTCACTCACGTTGGATGATGGAGTACTCGATATTCCACGATCACGCTTTAAACCTAAATAGCTTTTTCCCGCCAAATTGACCCTTTTTAATTTTAGATTAACCATTTCTATAAAGTATTAAAAAACCTTAGGAGATGGTATGAAATAAAAGCATGTAAAATAAAATTCATTTATATTAATATAAAATAATTTGGATCCTAGATAAGCCATATGTAAATTAGTTAAGATTACAATTCAAAAATTATCTATAATCTAATATTAAAACTGAATTATATATCTCATATTTTAAAAAACTGTTTTTTTTATATTCATTAAAATTCAAATAAACCCAATTTTAACTTCCATTTAACCTTTTCTATTTTCAAATCAATCCTTTCTTTAATGCATTAAAATGTGTAGGTGCCATGAAACACACATTTGAAGTGAAATTCCTGTATATTTGAGCATAATTTTTTAAAATATATTATATTTTATAGTATATTATTCTGGTACCTCAGAGATGGTTTTAACACTTTATAGCTTTTTTCCCGCTAAACTAACCCTTTTTAATTTGAACATTAACCCTTTTTCGTATCAAATTAACTCCATTTTAATTTTCAACTAATTTTATAACCTTTGTCTGACGCTTTTTTGTTTCCGAAATAAACCTTTTTTAACTTCAAATTAACCTTTTCTTTAAAGCATTAAAAAAACTTAGAAGATAGTATGAAATATAAGCATGTAAAGTAAAATTCCAGCATATTATAGAGACTTTTTTTTACTTTCGTTTAAAATAATTTGGCTCTTAGACCATACAAAAAAAAATTAAAAAATAATCTAAAATTAAGTATAAAAAAACAAATGATTCTTCTTTTTATTTGAAATTTTTCCTAAATATAAAATAATTGGGCTCTTAAAAACCGTATTTAAAATTAATTGTAATGTATTAATTGGTCAAGCGGACCACGAAATTAGTGAAATTAATATTAAAGTATTTAATTTAGTTTTTAAATACAGCCTTTTTACTGTAACAATATGCTGAAATATATAAATATTTCTCAAATTCTTGTTTATTTGGTAGTTGTTTTAATATAAAAAATTGGATTTAGAAAACCATATAACAATTAATTACAATTAAAATTAAAAAATATCTAAAATTGAATAACGAAATAAAGGAACCGCTCTGAGGTAAAGGTCTCGTGTTCGAATCTAGTGGCCCTGTATTCCAACCCGAAATACTTACAAATGGGCTTTTTTTTCAAAAACACCGGCACCCCGAGGGTTGATATAAGCTCTACTGTTGCGAAACCTCGTAAAAAAAATAAATAAATAAAATAAAGGACTCGTCTTTTAACTACGGAATTTTTTTATAATATAAATAGGGTTCATAAATAAAATGCCACATTAAAAGTAATTACAATTAAATTTTAGATTTTTATAAATTAAATGTAAAAACAAAAAACTCTTCGAAGAATGAGAAAATAATTATTTTATAAAAATCGAATTAATTTAAAAAAATCTTTTTTTTCAATATTTTAAATCACTATCTCAACTTACAGCAGGAAAAAATTTATATAATTTTAAATATTAATTTAAAAAAGTTAATTTGACGCGCTTACATTTCCTAGGTCTTTTGTTGTAGTCTTAAATAATAGGTTAATTTAAAAATAAAAATTACATGGTTAATTCAATGTTATAAAAAGGTTTAATTTCATGTTAAAATCGGTTCATTTGTCGCGATTACATTGCATACCATCTCTCATGTATTTTTGTGGTTGTCTTAAAGAAAGGGTTAATTTGAAAATAAAAATAACATGGGTTAATTCGAAGTTATACGGGTTAATATGATGTTAAAAAGGGTTATTTTGACGGGGTAAAGGGTTAATTTCAAATCATAAACGATTATTGCAAATTAAAAAAAGGTTAATTTGAAGTTAAAATAGGTTAATTTGACGCGCTTAAAGTTCATACCATCTCCATACCTACAACATAAAAGAGTTTATCCAAAAGTAAAAAGGGTCGATTTGATTGAGAAAAGGGTTAAATCGACGGGAGGGAAAATCATAACTCCTTTATAGATTCCGTTTAACCCTTTGCTTCCCAATCCTATCCTCATCCTTATGGAAAAGGGGCAAAAAGTTAATATGATGCTATAAATTGTTAATGACTACTGAATGAATAAAAACCTAAAGGATTCTTCTTTTAATTTGAGAGATATTCATACATTTCTGTATATTCTTTCAGTAAAAAGACTTATTTTAATATTTAATTTCAATTAATTTTGTATATGGCTTTTACGAGCTCATTTATTCCATATTTAGGAACAATTTCAAATAAAAAAAGGATCATTTGTTTTTAATGCTTAATATTTGATAATTGTTTTATTTTAATTGTAATTTATTTTCATGTGGTCTTCTAAGAGCCCAATTATTTTACTTTAAAGTAAAAAAAGTCTGTAGTAGACAGGGATTTTACTTTACATACTTATATTTCTTACCATCTCTTAAGTTTTTTTAATGTGTTAAATAAAGGGTTAATTTGACGGAAAAAGCTATATATTGACCGATGTGTCATTATTTGTTGCTTGTAAAACATAAAAATAGTGCACTCTCATGCACTAGTTTAAAAGAGGTTTATCGTTTCTTCCATGAGCCTGCATACGGACAGTTTTTTAAATTTAATTAGATTTTATGACTCTTCAATTGGTGGCTTAAAATAATACTGCTAAACTCTTTTTACCCTTTTTTTACTTTGTGGCGAAGAGTAATATCGTCTGTCTTTCAAGAAATTGTTTGAACGTGATTCTAAAAACGGGCCAGCACAAAAATGCGTTGCAAGAATAGACTCAGTTTAGATAATAAATCGAACAGTGTTTATCTGTTTGTTAACTGTTTTTTTCTCTTTTTAAAATAGATCGCCGGAAAGAGGAACCCCGAGCAGGAGAAAGAGGCCCAAGAATGGATGGAGGCGATTCTTGGTGAGAAATTCCCCCCCGGCACCACTTACGAGGACCACCTCAGAGACGGTCAAGTGCTCTGCGCCCTCATGAACAAACTGGCCCCGGGATCCGTGCCGAAGATCAACACGTCTGGGGGACAGTTCAAAATGATGGAGAACATAAACAAGTGAGTAAACCCCAAGATGGCGGAAAAAAGACGCCTAAATTTATCACATAAATTCATCTTGTTTTTTTCCTTAGTTTCTTGAAAGCTCTCGGCGCTTATGGAGTCGCAGACTTGGACTTGTTTCAGACAGTCGACCTATGGGAAAAGAAAGACATCGGTCAAGTCACGATGACCCTCTTCTCCCTTGGAAGGGCGGTACGTTTTCCCCTGTGACATTTCCCAAACAATTTTCACTGTTCTTTTTACTTTTTTAAATTTTTTTAACAGACATACAAACACCCGGAATGGACTGGTCCATACCTCGGACCCAAACCGGCCGATGAGTGCAAGAGAGAATTTTCGGAAGAACAGCTCAGGGCTGGAGAATCCATCATCGGCCTACAAGCCGGCTCGAACAAAGGCGCGACGCAAGCAGGACAAAACATTGGCGCTGGACGTAAAATCCTCCTCGGAAAATAAATGTACAAAAAAATATAATTTTTTTAAATAAAACAGTTCTGATGACTGATTCAGCGGCAAAAACCTTTCAAAATATGTACCATTTGTAACCTATTTGTACTGGAAAATGATTTTTTCTTTCTTTTTTTTTTTTTTTGAAATAAAATAATATTTCGTAAAGTTTATTTTTTAACCAGATCAAATAGTTCAAGAGATAAAATAAGCAAAATAGAGGAAATCGAGGTATTTTAAATGTATAGAAAACATTCTAGGAAGGAGAGGATCTCAGTGGCGTAATTCACATTAAAATAGACCAAGTTTAGGACTATTCTTTCACCAAAAAACAAAAAATTTATATCTTCATCAAAAACCTTGTTGATAGAACATTTATACAAAGTAGCCTATTTTTCAATATACAAACATGCTATCTAATTAGCGTCGGAAACTTTCGTTATAAATAGAACTTTGAAATTATTCCCAAGACGAAGTATGAAATTGTCTTCGGATATGTTTACGTCGGAGGCTGGTCCGTTTTTATTCCTATTATACGTAAGACGTTGAAAAAGTCCAATCGTGTGTGGGTGAAAGGGTGGCAACTTGCCTAACACCTCTGTTACTCAAACGGACGAAATATTTTCCAGTTTAAAAATAGAAGATATTTTCTTTTCACACCCTATTCCAACTTCTAAAACAAACTCCTTAAAAATTATCCAGACTTAACGAGTACTGAAATTGGAAAAAAATTTTGTCATTTATGAGATTATCTCGGAGGAAAATTGATCCAAAAAAGCTGTTTGAGTTGATGTCTTAACCACTAAGGAAAAAAATTCGACTAATCCACCGGTAATAAATGGGGTCTGTCAGAGAACGATATTTAGTAAGCGTATCGGACGAAATTTTAATTTGACATGGCGTACTTTTCAAGTAAAAGACATTAGCTATGATATATTATACAGATTGCAATACAGATTACAAAAGAGAACCTAGTGCCAATGTTCATTACCATGAAACTTGCCTAAACGTTCCAAATGAAATCACGATCTCTTTTCACACCCTAAGAATTTTCCACGTATACATATGCCAACTCCAAGAATGTCTGTATATATTTCCACGAGAGAACGACCAAGTTACAAACCTCGACGGTGCGTCCTAAGTTTCGAAACTAGATTTACAAGGTCTGTGTAAACATCGCCACGAGAGAAAGACAGAACGACCCAACTACAAATCTTGCTGGTGCTTCATAATTTTCGAAACTACATTTAAGCTAAATGATGCTTTAAAAAAAAGCTAAACTTATACGGGGTCTACTGTCAGCAGATGTCAATACCTTAAACAGGTCACCCTATATCTCAAATCCGGCTAAAAAGTACATATTGTCCAAAGATTCTCAATTGTATACAAGATATTTCGTTTTTTTTAGTTTTTTTTTTTTTAGTTTTCACGACATTTTTTCAACCCTTTTTCCAGTTTTCCTGTGTTCGCTTGCCAACTCCAACAAGATCCGTGTAAACATCGCCACGAGAGAAAGACCAAAACGACCCAACTACAAATCTTGCTGGTGCTTTATAATTTTCGAAACTAGATTTAAGCTATATAATGCTTAAAAGAAGCTAAAATTATAGGGGTCTACTATGAGCAGATGTCAATACTTTAAGAGGTCACCCTATGTCTCAAATCCGACTAAAAAGTCCAACAACTGTCCCCGAGAGAAGGACAATAATGTCCTAATTACAAATCTTGCTGGTGCTTCCTGATTTTCGAACTGAGATTTTAGTTAAGCTAAGCTCAAAAAAGCTCAAATTATACAGGGTGTCCCCTGAGCTGAGCACTCTACTCTCAAATCCAAGCAAAAAGTCCCTTGGTCCAAAGCTTTTCGATTGTATTCATTTTTAATACTAGGTCAGGGGAAGAACTGAAAGTTCGGCGTTTTGAATCGTATTTTAGTTGTTGACGTCTGAAACACCTTAAAATACACTCATTTGACCTGAATTTCTGTCTGAAATCATCATCTGACGTATCTTTATTCTTAATTCTGATTGAGTTAGTTCTAATAATCCGTGTGTTTTCATTTTGTATCTCTGCCAAATGTTCTTAGCGAAGGGCGTTGATAAAAAAATGACGAACGCCCAAGTTAAACAGTTCTTTATTAAAACTACGTTTTTTTGTAGTGGTATTTATTCTGTTTTTTATTTAGAAAATAATTATTTTGAATTTTTTTCAAAGGCGAATCTGGGGCTCAAAATTAAATTGCTGCACGTTCTAATGCTGTATGTTGATGTATATATATATTTTTTTTTTTACATTTGGATTTAACATTTTCTGCACTAATAATGATAGAGATTTTAGATTGGCGCCAAATAGATCTGTGTTGCCAATACTCGGGAAAAAACAGAGCAGGGACCTTTCCTGCTAACCTTAAACAAAATTCCTTAAATTAGCATCGCTCTGAAGCAAGAAAGGGTTAAATTATAAAATGGCTATGAAAAATTTAATGTTTGGCAAATATATTTTTTTTATTACATTTATTTGGTATTTACAACTACAAGTGATGTATTAAGTAAATATGTTCGTATATTTTGAATTATCATTTGAGGCTCTTGTAGGAGAAGTTGCCCAGTGGTAACACTCCTTCACACTGATACTTGTTCAGTCTTCACACAATGAGAAGGTCTCGTTGTGTGAAGACTGAACAAGTATCAGTGTGAAGGAGTGTTACCACTGGGCAACTTCTCCTACAAGAGCCTCAAATGATAATTCAACATATACGAACATATTTACTTAATACATCACTTGTAGTTGTAAATACCAAATAAATGTAACAAAAAAAAAAAAAAGAGAGAGATGCAGGTGAAGAGCCAGATTAGAGACTAAAGATTCCAAGATTCCAAGTTTAGACTGGCGCCAAAAATATCAATGCTGCCAACACTCGGGATAAAACATTTAAGGAAAACATCGCACCCGCCCTAAACTCATGGGATTAGTTGACTTTTATAAAATTTCCTAAATTTGGTGTTGTCCTGAGGCAACGTTGGGCAAGAAAAGGATAAATACGTGAATATTATTAGTAACATTATTTATTTAGGATAAGCTACTATTATTATTGTTTTAGATGACCAGTTGGAAGGTACAATGGACGGTTTGTAGATCTCGTTCCACTATCAATCATAAATTCACAATGCTTGGATACATAAGTTACTGTACTGTAAGTAGATGTTCATATTTATTAACCTTGTGAATTATTAATAAATTAAATTTTACGTTAATTTTGATGTTGTTAATAGGGTAAATTTATGATTGACGAATAATCAACCATGAAAATCGGTCCCATGGGTTTTGAGAAAAATGATGTTATAGCTGGCATTAGGAATGGCAGTTATGCAGAAGGTAGTCAAAAAATTAATTTACACCGATTCTCGCCAAAGACTTATAACAAATTTTCATAACAAATATTCTGTAAGCAAAGTAAGCCAGAAAATGGTCAAAAATTAGAATTGACATCATTGTCGTGATTCTAGCCCCTTGATAGCGACTTTCGCGGAAATCGGTCTAAATTAATTTTTTGACTGATCATTTCGACTACCTTCTCCTATCTGACATAAGTACACCTCGATCGAATCATCACGTACGATGATGGATGCTGTACGGTAACAGGAGGCGTACAGGTCAGTGGTTGGACAAGGATGAAGCGCCAAAAAATTTCCCGAACCCAAATCTGCACCCAAAAAATTTATGGTGTCTGTTTGGTGATGTACTGCAGGGGTTGTTCACTATTATTACCTCAATTGTGGTGAAACTATCACACAGACAAATGTGGCCAAGAAATTGACAAAATGCAACGTCTAGGTCCAGCATTGGTAAACCGTAAGGGGCACATGTCGCATTGCTTGAGGACAGGATATGCAACCTTACCCCACCATCCATGTTCACCCGACCTCTCACCTACAGATTTCCATTTTTTAGGCATTTTGATTATTTCTTGAGGGATAAAATTTTTAGAGAACGCGATGAAGCCGAAAAGCCTTCTAAAAATTTATTGTGACTCGAAAGAAAGATTTTTATGTCAGCGGAATAAAAGCGCTGATTACACGTTGGCAAAGATGTATAATTGTGGTGAAAAATGTTTCGAATAAATTTTCTTTATTTCATAAAAACCAAAAATATTTTGGACTTCCTTTTCAAAATCTGCATTATAACAGTAATAATAATAAAACTATTTACAAAATAAAAAAATTATCTGCGAAAACATATTTTTTGCTTGGATACTAATCTGTCAGCTGAGTTGAAATACATTTTTTACAATTTTTTTTATTACTACAATAAAAAAAGAAAGAAATCAGAGAAAAAATAAATAAAATGAATTCCTACTAATAATTAAAATCTCTGACAAGTAATTTTCTATAATATAGCGCATCTTTTAAATAATTACTTCCCCAGTCTCTACCGTTTAGATAATTACAAAGTTCAGAATCTGTTAAATTATCTTTCTTAAAATATTTGATTCTATATGGCAGACTGCAATCAATTGTTTTGTATCTTGAATTTCTTTTAGGTTTGACAATGAACAAAGGTGGCACAAATCTGGTCTAAAAGGTCTAAAATTTAAGTTCAGCTGTTCACTCCTTGCTTTCATTAATTTACATAAATTTTCTTCCCAAGTATTTTCTACGTTTTCATTTACATCTATACTAATATTGTCCTGATTACATAATTTCTTCCATGAGTTTAACCAAAGAATATTTTTAATTATTACTTGAAATGTATTTTAAATGCAGTCCAAAAGTATATACATAAATGCTATTCATTCCTACTTCTAAATTTAGAATATAATTTATTGTAAGAAAGGTTGAGGAGCCTTTTCATAAAAAATCTCTGTTTTCTCTCAACTTGGTCATAGATCTAGAAACCCCAAACTTGGGCTGCATAACAAACTACTGGCCGACACGCTGCGTAAAACACTAATTTTGGAGTTCATAGATTATTTATGAATTTAATAAAACGTTCTGCCAAGTAGAATTAATCCCGGATTTTGCTTTACTTATTTACTTGGTGTTGACCAATCCACAGTCGTTCGCCATCTGGAAGCTATCGGGAAAACAAAGAAGCTTGCCAAGTGGGTTCCGCATGAGCTGAACAACCGCCAGAAGAATCGCACGTATAAAATGTATTCAATGCTTTCCGTACGCAAAAATGGTCAATTTCTCGGTCATATAGTAACGTGTGACGAAAAATGGATATTATACGACAATAGACAGCGTTCTACATTCTTGGCTGGATAAGAGTGAAAAACCAGGGCACTTTCCAAAGCTAAGCTTACATCCAATAAAAAAATATTGTCATTGTCTGGTGGTCATCTGCGGGATTCATTCATTACAGCTTCCCCAATCCGGGTGAAACCATCACTGTTGAAAAGTACTGTAATGAAATTAATGAGATGGACCGAAAACTGCGACATTTATTGACAGAATTAATCAATCGGAAGGGGCCTATACTTCTTCATGACAACGCACTCCCACACGTCGCACAGCGTACTCTGGCACGACTTCATAAGTTGGGTTACGAAGCTTTACCACTACCACCATTACTCCTCGGATCTTTCTCCTCCAGATTATCTCTTTTTTAAACATCTCAACAACTTTTTGTGCGAGAAACGGTTCAGAAGCCAGAATGACATAGAAAAAGCATTTCGGTTGTTCGTCGATCCAGAAATCCTTGTTTCTATTCTTCTGGGATTAATGCTTTGGTTGTGCATAGGCAAAAATGTATAGAAAGTAATGGAAGTTATTTCGATAAATACACTGACAGGCAAAAAATCCACCAAATTGATTTTTCGGAATTTAAAATGTTTATTCAGTTTCATTTGAATTGAATAAACTGTTTAGTTTTCACCTTTGTTTTCTTAATTTAAATTTTTAAACTTAAAAATGCCACTCAGTGCTGAGGATATTGCGCGTGGTGTGGCACATATTGATGATGGTCGTTCGAGGTATGCTATTGCCATCGGAGTTCCCTACGAAACACTGCGAGATCCCGTTAGACGTTTTTGAGAAACTGTGTCCTACCATAGAAGGCCCGGTCCTGGACGCCCTAGCGTAACAGAACCACAGGATGACAGTTTTTTGGCTTTTAGAATTTTGTGAAACTGGCACCTTAGTGTTATTCGAGCGATTCACCAGCTCCAGGAAGTACGAGGTGTCCAAATTTCTGAACGCACTATTCGAAAAAGATTAAATCAGTACGGTCTATTGGCTTTTCGCCCCGTAAAAGGACCTGAATTGACCAGAACACAGAGTTGCACGGATCACGTTTGCTCGAGAACACAGTCATTGGTATTTGACGATTGGCATGCTTACAGATTTGCTCTAGACGGGCGCAAAAGAGTGTAGAGAAGGCGAAATGAAAGGTACGAAGCTTGTAATTTTTCGCAGAGCCAACCTTTCAACGTAGCTCAGTGATGGTGTGGGCGAGAATTTCATTGGAGAGTCGCACAGAGTTCGTGGAGGGTCTTTGACGGCCACTCGCTATGTGGATGAAATTTTGGAACATCATCATTGCCTATCCTCGATGAAATCAGCGACATCCTATTTTAATGCACGATAACGCCCGTTCACATGTCGCTCCCGTAGTACAAACGTACCTTCAACAGCATAACATCAGGTCTTAGCCTGGCCAGCCCGTTCTCCAGACTGAACCCCATCGAACGTTTATGGGATAACCTTAAAAGACGAATAAGAGCACTTCCTGATACACTCCACGATCTTGAAAGGTCTCTTCGTGAAGAATGGGCTAACATCCAGCCTTCGAGATGTAATTAAGGCAAGAGGAGGAAATACACGATATTGAAATGTTAATTCAAAATCTAAAACAAATTTTGTAAATATTCAAAGGGATACTGTAAGCTTACGCTTTCATTGTCGTCTTTGTCACCAGCTAGTGATTCTGCATGATTTATGGAAACACACTTAGCAATTTCCCGTGGTAGTCGTTTCACTATCAGATGATTAATTTTTTTGACTTCATCATTTCTACCTGCCATTACAGCTCTATTGCTCATTTCTTCCTCAGATAAACCTAACGGATAAAACTCTTCTATTGAATTATCCATAACATTTCCTCGGATAATTTAAGTTTTTTAATGATATTATTTCCGATATCTAATAACGATTCTGAAAATTAAATGGAATTTCCATCCGCACGCTTATGCTTGGATGTTTAAAGCATATTGTAGACTTGTGTGGCGCCAAATTCGCGATATTGAAATATTAATTAAAAATCTAAAACAAAATTAAAACAAATTTTATCTGTCCGTCTTTTTTAAAATTTATTTCTATTTTTTTTATTCTTCATTTTCCTTAACAATTTACATTTTTTTAATTTACTTTTTTAAACAAAGACTCGATTATTAAACATTAAAAAATGTGGCACTTAGATAAATATATAAAAATATATACAAGTCAGTTATATTACAAGTGGAAAGAATTTTTTGCCTGTCAGTGTATACTTGGTTGAAGTTAAATTGTAGCTTGTTTTTACTGAATATCAAAAACATACATTGTTTTTGCATCAACCGAATGTAATCTCTTGTTAGTCACTGGTACTTGAATCTGGCTGAATATCCCTGATAAAGCAAAAAAAAAATGTAATCTCTAGGGGTCAACCAATTTTCGAAATAGCCGGGTTAAAGAGGATCGATTTATCTATAAGAATTCCATCGAGGAATCGATTGTGATCAAACATCTCCTGTGATTATTACAAAAAAACGATTCTTTCCAAGAAAAAAAAGTGCAAATTATTAATTTTTGTTGTTAAATATTCCGTCGATTATCTTAAAACAGAGAAATTTGGAAAAGGGAGCAGTTAAAAATGTCCGGGAATCGAGAGATGTAACAGGCGGTGACTTTTGGTCGACTGTCGGACAGCTGCAAATGCCGAGGTTTCAGAAGATAACAAGTGAGTACTGTTACTCGGTCACTGTACGCTTGTCGTTTCACGTCGAAGTTTGCCAGTTGACTGTGAATTAAGCCGTTGGGGGCTCGAGTCGGACTTGTTTCTGTTCACTGGAAGAAATTGTTTTACGAAGATTTCTGTTCCCACCACGTTTTTGAAGAAGATCCAGACAGGAAAATGTTCGCGAGGCTATCATTCTACCCGACGCTCCTCTACAACGTGTTGATGGAGAAAATGACGAGCCGCAACTGGTACGACAGGATCGACGATACTGTAATTCTAGGCGCGTTGCCTTTCCGCAGCATGACCGACAAGGTAGGCTTATCCATCCAATAAATTCACTTAAAAACCAACAAATTTTGGTTAACGTTACCGACTCTGTAACCCTAACCGTTATATCAAATGTATATCAGTGTAATTATTAAAATTATCAGTACATAATTTCTTTAGACTCGTTGAATAACCATAATAACTAGTAAACTGCATTGTCGATGGACTCTACTCTTGTCTATTACATAGAAAGTCCACTCTCATTTATTAACAGGAGCACTTTGGTTGTATCTATGTATTACATTAGACTTGAGCTGAACAGTCATATAGGACCATTTTTTTTTTGTTTCAGTCAATTGCTCATTTTTCATTATTTAGAAGGCAATGGCAAGTAAATAATATCTGTAGACTCCGACTCTTTTAATAACTATAATAGCTAGTAAACTATATCATTGATGTACTCTACTCTCGTCCACATCATGGAACATCCACCATCATTTAGAAACACGAGCACTTTGGTTGTATCTATGTTGCATTAGACTTGAGCTTCACAGTCATGTACGACATGCTCCAGTTTTTTTATGTTTCAGCTAATCGCTCATTTTTTCTTATTTAGAAAGCAAGCAGCAAGCAAGTTATTTCTTTACACCTCTCTTTTTCTCTCCTTCCTTAACCTTTTGTCAGCTCCCTTCCTCTTATTTTCTCCATCTTCCTTTTTTTCGTTCTTTTTTCGAGTAAAACTCTCTCCAACACTGAAAATTAGGAAACCTGGGTAACTTTTCCTATTTGATTTCTTATTAGGAAGATCAGTCCAAGGCAGTGCTTTTTTTGTAAAGGGCTTGGGAAGTCATTTAAAGGAGTTTCAAGGAGGTTGGTTTCTTTCAAATTAGGGGGTAAAGGTATCGAGAGCACGTATCTTGGTGAAGTAGGTGTGTGGGTTCAGCATTCATTCGTGTTGTGTCCTGACTTTCACAATTCCCATACTCCAGTACATTGTCATCTTCTATGATAACAGATACTGGCTTAGATCATCAGCCTGAAGCTAAGAATTCTCATCATGCGGTCATGTTTCCACCATAAGTCAGAAAGGGATCTGTAAGGATATGTAACGAGAGAGAAACGTGAAATAGAGGAAATGACGGTATGAAGAAAATTGTGTTATGTTCCAGGCCTGCTGGCTACTAGCAGAAGGCCCAATATTAGATTCCAGTAACTGGCACCCCTTAAATTTCCCAATTCTATCGCAAAATAATTTTCAAAAACACAAACACAATTTACAATCACCCAGTGTTAGAAATATCACAAAAAGCGTAGGATAAAATGAAGAAGATGAACTGCTGAGACGAAAACATACCACTGAGTCCTTGCAGGCAATGTCTGCGCCTAGGGCACTAGACCAACTGGGAGGAACTTGTTGATGTTAGGTTATGATTCCTGCCAAATCTCAAGTAGAGCTGGCAACCAAGAGGAGATACCTACAGAAGTTGCCAATTTTTGAAATTGTGGTTTAGGAGGCTCTGAAACCCTGTTATTTCAATTTTTTGAGGAGGATTGCAGCTACTGGTGTACTGTCTGCTATTGGTGCATTTACCCTAAATTTTTACCCCATTTACCCTAAATTTTACTTGGGCTAAACATTCATATCGGATATTTGCCAGTTTTTATGTTTCAGACATTTTCGTTATCCAGGTGGTGCTGGTGATCAAAGAAACAAGTAATTTTGTAGATTCAAATCTGTTGAGAGAGAACGTTTATTTACCATATCAACTGTAGTTAAACCAAATTTTCAAAATTGTACTACCCTATTTTGAGATTGTAAAAAATTCAGTTCTTGGGTCCTTGTTGATAGAAAAGCCTTAGATCTGACTATATTGTTGATTGACTTTTACTCTTGTTCATGTCATGGAAAGTCCACTCTAATTTAAAAATTTTAGAGCTTCCCTAGTATCTTTACATGTTGAATTTTGCATGGGCTGACAGTCACATAGGACATGTTATTGCTTTTTATGTTTGAGACATTTTTCGTTATTTGGGTAGGACTGCCGATTAAAGAAAAAAATAATTTTCATAGATTACAACTCGTCGAGTGAGAGATAGACATTGTCTTTGTTTAATTACCTTATCAACAATAGTCATACTGACTTTTCAAATTGGTACTACACTATTTGTGAAAAAAATTCAATTACAGGATCTTTTTTTGGTAGAGAAGCCTCAGATCTGGCTAAATCGACGATACTTTACATGTTGAATTTTACTTATGCTGTCATGTAGGGCATGCATCAGTGTTTTTTATGTCAGAGCAATTTTTTTCATTATTTAGGAGAGCCCTGGCATCTAAAGAAATTGATAATTATCGTATATTTCAGCTTGTTTAACTCCAACCTCTTGTATTAGATAGTTTCTAATTATCATTGTACCAATTTGGCTTCTTTTTCAACTGAAGGCCAAAACGTGATTGGAAATTAACAAAATGCACATTCATAAAGAGAGAAATCTCCCAACTTTCAGTTTAAAATAGTTATTTGATCGTTTTAGATTAGCGTATCAGTCGAATGAGAAATTATCCTTTTTATCTTGGTTCCACTGATTGTGTTCTTCCTATCCTCACTGAGTTGGTCTGTAAGAGTCAGACACACTGAAGATATAACATATAAGATGATATAATTGCAACTAATCAATATGGTTTATTGTTTGTTTATTTGTAGTTAATAAGTGAAGAAAACGTGAGAGGAGTTGTTTCTATGAACGAGGATTATGAACTTTACCTGTTTTCCAATAGCTGTGCAGTAAGTACTTTTTTTACTTGTTGATCTTTGAAATGATCCAAATTTTTATGGACTTTACATAAAGTCACATGTCAGCTCAGAATGATTTAATAAGTTCTCAACTATCACATTTGTGACGGTGTCAAATGGTAGACTGTCAACTCATAAATTATGTTGAAACCATATGTTATTAAATACTTATATAATACAGTTTTTACATCCTGATGTACAGGATGTATTCCTTGAAAATTTGAATTACAATTTTAAACTTAACACTGGACATGATGTACCGTCCATTTTATAATTGTAAATTGTAACCTTCAAACGGTTATCCTATACAGTACGGCCAAACCTTACCCATTTATCCTGAATTACAAAAATAGTCCTGATGAAGGGAATATATTATTTAAAAGCTTCAATTATTATTTTAAACTTAACAGTGGAGTTGATCTACCTTCCATTTTATATCAAAATTGTAACCTTCATCTGATTATCCTGTACAGAACTGCTAAAACACCCATTTATCCTGAATTATAATAATAGTCCTGATGAAGGGAATACATTCTTTAAAAGCTTGAATTATTATTTTAAACATAACAGTGGACGTGATCTACCATCCATTTTATATCAAAATCATAACCTCCATCCGATTATCCTATACAGAACTGCTGAAACACTTACCATTTTATCCTGAATTATAATAATAATCCTGATGAAGTGGTGAATATTTGTTAAAAGCTCGAATTATGGTTTCAAATATAACGGTGGATGAGATCACCCATGCTATATCAAAATTGTAACCTCCTTCCGGTTATCCTGTACAGTACATCCAACACACATAACCATTTATCCTAAATGATAATACTACCTGATGAACAGGTGATTTTAATATCTTCAATATCTTAATGGAGGAACTGCGTTTTTTCTTTTCTTTTGAATCTGCCTTGTCTTCAATATTTTTAATAAAAGATTATTTTTGTTTATAATGTATTGAGATTTAACATAAATTCAAAACTTTTCTCAGACAAACAGTAATTCATCTCCTCTAATGAGCTGACGGTAGAGATGACGAAAATAGTTTTGAGCATTTTCCAAGTTTTACAAAGACCAGGGGACAATGTTGGTTCGGCTGGCCTTGATAAAAATTTATATCTCCCAGAATATTTCACACCATAATACTACATTTCAAGGCAATCATGCCTGACAACTTATGCCAATTATTTATTCTTTACATTCTTAATTCTTTGATTGAAAGAATTGATCTTCTTTCAATCTATTATGCCATTTTGTCTTTTATCACATATTTTTTTCATTTTTTGTTACACATTTAGGCGATTTTGTCTGATAATCTGTAATTCTACATATAGATTCTTTGTTGTTGTACACAATGCAGTGGCATATTTGTGTTTAAGCTATCTACAAACTTCATCATCTTGATAAATTAATTAATTTTAAATAAACTCACATTTAGCTTTTTCACTTTTGCCAAAAAAATAGTATAGAAATCAAAGTGAAATGTTCAAAGGCTCTTTAATTTTTTTTTTAGTGAATTCATGTTCTGCCATCAAAATAAGATTAGATTAATGAACTTTTTTGTTGGTGTGTTAAGATGTTAGACGAAGTAGTCAAATAAAAATAAGGTGAAGTCATTAAAAAAATACAATAAATATTTATAAAAGAGTTACCAAAAATTGATGATTAAAAATTAGGTAACAACAAAATCATACATATTAATACTCGAATTGTATAGTTTGAATTTTACATTGTTTATTGATGCAAACACACACACACACACAAATGTTGGTAGCATAATGTGGTAACATTGGTAACCTGGGGATGTGGTTGTAGAGAGTTCACGTATTGTACAGTCATTGCTGTCATACAGGGAGTTTTAATGCCCATGCGTTTCATGTCTTGGACAAGGGATCAAACCACTTTACAATACCTTTTCTGTATTGATGCCAATTAAAATTTTAAGAGCTGTGCAAGGATTTGAACCCTGAACCATCAGCGTTGCAATTACGAATACTTTGCAAATATACCTTAACCACTGGCCACTGCAGTCCTCTCCTCTTGTATTGTAGTTTTTCATTTTTTTATTATTATTATATTTTTTTTTATCCTTACTATTCCAGATTGGTCACAGTTATCATTAGGTAGGAGTGACAAGAAAGGACTGGGTGGAGCTGACCCGGCAGCAACAGACGAGCCGGCGGAAAAAGCGGGCTGATCCTTTTTTATATATGTTCAATTTGTGCAATTTATGCAATTACTTTTTGGACGGTGGTCTCTGACGTGGATAAAAACCATTTATATCGAAATATCCATGGAAAAGTCCACCTCGCATAATGTTGCTGGCAACACGGGACACTGGCTGTATGCATCAAAGCAAAGAAAAAAAAAGCGTCTCCTAGACCACCGGTGCTATACATACTCATGGAGCCCCCCTCTGCTCACAGCAGCAACTGCACCGACACCCCACAGACCTCACACACACTTCCTCCCAATATCTCTCTAAATTTACATTTTCAGTGAAGGCCGTTTACTGACCTTGTCATATAAGTAGATTGCACAAAATTCACTATGTACGTGTAAACCCTTTCATCTTTCATTTGTAACAACGATCTTTAGTTGAATGGGTTTATCTACTTCTTCCATTAAATACAAGCTATCAAACAGCAAACTCCTTTCCTTGTAATATCTTTTACAAATCATAATGTGTTTAAGATCTTCAGTTACCTTACATGTTTCACATAATTGGTCCCTACGTTGTTTGATCCTTTCCAAATGTACTCCACAGATCCTATGATTTGATCTTAATCTAATAATAATAGAACAATCCCTCTTTGACCATTTGACGTTGTGAAACCAGCTTCTCGCTTATATTGGAATTAATACAAGTAAGGAAAGGCCTCGTAGGAGTGTCAGTATTATATGTATGCCATTTTTCTATCACTTGGGATCTGATTACACTCCTTGCATCCTACAGGGTATTGTACAGTTAATAAATAAAATCTAAAAAGATAAGAATTCTTAACATTCAGCATTTTTATGTGTCACAAGAATGAGTTTTGTACTGTTAAAATTCTACTCAAAATGTTTTTGCTTTAGGAGTGGAAAGACAGAGATGTTGAATTTCTCCAGCTTAGTACAAGAGATATTTTTGAAGCACCATGCCAAAATAAGTTAAACCAAGGGGTACAATTCATAAACAAGTTCCGCAATACAAATTTCAGCGTTTATGTGCATTGCAAAGCTGGTCGTACACGCAGTGCTACTTTAGTTGGATGCTATCTCATGTCGGTGAGTGCTCAATTTAGAAGTTTCCGACAGCTATTTGATGACTGATCAACTGTTGTAATTTGAAATTATTTTTAGAAAAACGGTTGGAATCCAGAAGAAGCAGTTGATTACATGAGACAGAAACGGGCTCACATTCTATTTCATGCCATCCAATGGGAAGCGATGAGAACGTACTACGCCAACAGTAATAAAAAGGGTACATCTGAATTGTCGAACAACACACCTGTTACAACTCTGTCAAAAGAAAAACCACCACTGCCTTCCGTACAGCCTACGTCACAAGAGTCGTCTGGAAGTACATGAGATAAAAAATGTATTTATGTAAACATACTTTGATTTATTTTTTATCTAGGCATTAGTTGGAAAATATGAATAGTATTTAATTCTAATCTATTTTTAAATTATCTAATTATCCTTGTTATATTAAAAATGACAACAAATTTTGGAATAATTGTTTCCGATTTTGGATAATTATTGTGATGACATGGATAAGACTACACATAAATCTGGTCCAAATAGTAGTTAAATATTTTTACAAAATTCTTGTCAGCAGAATTTTTTATTAAACAGACCTTAATAATTAAATTAAAATTAATATGGCTTTATCACCCAAAGATTTCATATAGTTAAAGGTTGGGTTTAAACAGTCTCTTTTATTACATAAATATTAGAAGTTATTTAGGATTATTTTGAGATTAACAAGTGTGATATTTTGGATTGATTTCTATTTCAAACTTTTTTGTTGTGTTTGTACTGAAATGTGTTCAAACATTTTTGATTTTTGCTCTTGTACCTCTTATTAACAGGTAATTTAATACCCTCCTCAAAAAAATGAAGCTTCATTTTTTAATGGGTTGATAGATTTAGATAAAAATTCACAAACTTTTATTACACAACTGAAATTAAAGGCAGATTCTAACTTGACACTATGAATATTCCTCCTCTAGTAGTGTGACAGCTCTAGACACTTCTACTTCGTTTAGATGCCTTCGTTGAACTCTAGCTGCATTCATTATTAAAGAAAAAATGATGGATTATCACAATTTGAAAGAAGGTAGTATTGAGTCTTTTTCAGGTTATTGTTTGGCATAAACATAAGCATAAATTATGTAAATAAATTAAACTCAAATCATTAGCGAACACCTTTGTTTACTTTGTGAGTTAACATCAAATTATAACTTAAAAACAACACGATACTTCAATTTTTTTGAGGAGCGTATTTTATCATTATTTCAATTATGTATTTATGAAAAAAAAAAAAAAAGGAATAGATATAAGTAATTTTGTTGTAAAAGTGGTGAGGTTTACAAGGTGGTAAAACAGTAATTCGATCATCTCGACTAATTAGGCGTTAATTAATTTTGTCAAAATTCTACAAAGTAGTTTTGCCAAAGTCATATCCGTTTGTTAAACAACCTACAGGTTAAAAAAAAATTTTTTTTAAATATCGAACAATCAAAAATTTCAGTGGAGTCTTTTGTCATTTCTTCTTTCTTTGGCAATGATTTATGTAGCTTTCATCGTCTTATTTGTTTATTTATTTAAGAAGCATTTTTAGTTTATTGTATTCGAGTTTCTTCAAATTTCAGTCAGTCTTTAATTTTTTCATTTAAATGTCCCACTTAGTGCTGGCCTGTATCTAATTTGTGCCAGGTACCTTGAAAAATTAATAAAGGAATGCAGCTCAATATACATATTTATGATCAATATTTACAAGTCATAAGTAAATTATCCCAAGTTTATCATATAGTAAAAAAATTAGCCTTAAAAACTTCAAATAGACTTAAATTTTAAACTCAAACATTTCAGTCATTTCTTCTTATTTCTTGAAGATAAGCATAACTTTAATTTTTTTTATAAATAAGCATTTTTAGTTTATTGTAATGGAACTTCTTAAAATTTTGGTCAGTTTTTAATTTTTTGATTTACACATCTGGCTAAGTGTAGGCCATATATTTTCCAATTTCTGACAGGTACCCTGAAAAATTAAGCAAGGGACACAAAGCTCAGGATATTTAAGAGTCATAAGTAAGTTATTAATTTTTACACAAAGTAGGTCGAGATGAAAAATTAGTGTCACGAGCGGGATTCGAACCCACAACCTCCGGATTACCCCGGTGCTTATACCATTTTGAGCTATTGTGACTTAAGTCCCCGAGACACCAAGTCATCTCAACGGACAACTATTTCAATTTTCCCTCTTTTTACACCAATAGTTGCCAGTTGAGATGAGGAGTTGGTGCTTCGGGGCTACAAACTGGTTAAGATAAAGTTATCCCACACTTATCCTGCAAAAAAAAGAACTTAAAGTAGACGTAAACTTTAAACTCAAACCAGTGGGTGTGGTGGGGGAATGGTTTGTCTTATGGTTAAATTATCCTGAATTATATGTTCTAGATGTGAAAAAATGAACAGTAAAGTCGGAAGAATCTACCGAAATTTATCTTGTTTGTTTTGAGTGCCAAATAGTTGTCACTCATAATTTAGAACCTCAGAAGTATTATATAAAGTCTTCCAATTTGATCCGAGTATATGTACGATGACAGTTCTTACTAAACTTTCACAATTTCAGAAATAGTTTCTAGTTGATACTTAAACAAATAATTGTAATAAAATTTAATAATATTTTCTGTTGAATGTTAAAATTATTTATTCTTCTTGTAGTATAACTAAAGGTGGTAGAAGAAATGACGTAATGGGGTCCGTGGAACGGTTCTTCACATATTTACGACTGAGGTGAAGCAAACTGGACTTATACAAATGTAATACAGTGAAATAGTTCAATATTTGTCAAAATTATTTTCCTTGTTTTAATTGCCATACATTTTTTTTCAGAAAAACTTGTTTTTTTTTGTATCATTAATTTAAAATTGTATTGATATCAATTTCAGTTAGTATAAACTTTCTGTGATATATGTTGAAAAGCTTTAAATTTTTTAAAACATGCAAGAAATTAAAATTTGTAAACATTCCCTAAAAACCAATGTCTCAGATTGGCAAAAAAAAAAAAAAAATATATATTATCCCCCTGTTGTAATTATTTCCTAGGAAACTAATCGCCGATAGTTGTTTTGGCAATTGTTTTGTAAATTTCGTTCGATCTTTAACAATAGGTGAATAGCAACTACCAAACAATATTCAGTTTAAAGCTTTTCGTTTTTTTAACTCTCTCTCTTTAATATAAATTGTAACCATTTATAATACAGGATGCATAAATTTCACACATATTTAAAATCTATGTCCAGATAAAAGGTTTGATTTATATAATTATATTTTGCGAAAATTGTAAACTTTGCAAGAATTTGTGAAGTTTACATTATTTAATAAATTGTACATAATTTTTAATGAAAATATAAAAAAAAGATGATATGGTAATCATAGATGCCAACTATTAGTGGCTGGGTCAAAGTAATTATTTCTAAATGTATTTTTGTTTTCATTTTAAATTATTAAAAGTTGATTTAATTATTTTAAAAAAATTAAACGTCATTAATGTTAACATTCATCGGGTCCTATTTTTTTTCACCTTGCTATCAATTTAACCGTAGCGAATTTTTTCACAATATCCCTGTTTTAATGTGATTTTGTTGTTAACTTTAAAAACTCAGAATAGACAAAAAGTCACTAATTGTTGAAAAAACAATCTTACTTAACCGCAGAAAAACTTCAGACTCATTTATTTATGTATTTTTTTGCAAAAGAAACATTGTCATATATTTATTTAATCCAACTGGAAAGAGAGGTTTGTCTGGCATGCAAGTATTAAATCCAAGAAGGATGTGATAATAAACAGGGCATATTAATGTAATAAGGCTGTAAATAATTTTGTTATGAATAATTAATTATATAATATTTGCTGTACTTAGAAAAAATAACAAGATTATTTATTTATTTTTAAAAAAATCTATTGTTTTGTTGAAGTAATTGAAATTTATATAAGTTCAAATTTTAAAGGGTTAACAGACTAGTTAACTATTGTTTAATACGATTGTTCAAAGTTTATGTGCATTGGTTGAATAAATCATGAAGTTATTTCATAGTTTATTTTTTGTGTGACTTTATTCTGGTTGTAGGATTATTGTTTTTTATTATATTTTAATCAGTTTCTTTGTATAATTGGTAAATGGTGATTGAATGTGCATTATTTTTGATAATAAATATATGTTAAAGTGACGGATTATGATTATGATGTCCATCCTACCAGCAAATTTTGTATGGTTCGCATCGTCAAACGACCCTGGGAGTTATGAAACAAGAGGAATTTTTAGTTCAATGTTATATTTTAAAGTCTCCATTGCGACCGTTAAGTAAATTCTTCATAGGGTTTTATACAGGTGCAAAGTATAACAGGCACTCCGTGTGCAGATTCGTCGCCTCCAGAGGAAAACTGCCACCATTTCTGTATGACAAAAGAATGCTATAGATATGTGATTCCTGATTTTATATATTAACAATAACCTTTTTTCTATTATTTTAGATCTAGGCCATAAAAAAAATATAAAAAAAACAGGTGGAAGTAGAGGAAAGAATTAAGCCTCATGGGCAAATATACCTGGCGAACTAGGCCTGAAGTCTTGCTTTCTGGGATTCTGGCACACACAAATGTGTTTTCATTTTGATCAATTCAAATTGATTAATCTTAAAAGGTGATAATGACATTTGGATTATGTTTTGAGAATTTAGAATCGGAAGAATTCTTTTCTATAGGAGTTTTTCTAGCATTTTACCCAAAGTAGGTAGTCGACTTATTGGCCTGTATGAAGTAGTACAATGTGTTGGTTCGAATATACGAGTGCTTCCAAGTTTTGCACTTGCTTGATGTGGCCAATTCTTAGCCTGGACTGGCTTTTGAATCATGTACGGGTAAGATTGGGAATATGTACATTGAACGGGGATAAAAACAAACATTTTATTTAAAAAAAAAAATATACAATACTTACAAAAATAAACAATATCACAATTCACTTGGCATGAGGTACAAGTAGCAGTTTTTCTTTTTTACAGGACTCTGTTGTTATCAACAGGACAAAGCACTTTCTAAAATATTTATAAAATATATGTTAAACTAAAATTGAACATTAAATTAAAATCTATACTTACGCCTTCACAATATGGACAAGGGCCAGATATGTATGTGAAAAACTGGTGGACGTTTGGCCGTGATTCAAACCACTAAACCGATAATAATTTTATAAAATCATTCATAACTATGTTATTAACAGTAGTTACCTGTAAGATACACTCGAGATGATAACGTGAATTACATTTTGGGTTGTTACACCATTTTGTAGGCGGAGATTGATTCGGTTCTTGTTCGTCGGAGAAGCATATGGAACAACTATTCGGTCCTATCATGCCTTCATATGTTGCCGGTTTGGGCTTGGAAGGAAATTCTTTTAGTTCTAACAAAACTTTCAGGTTCTCCAGTATAGATTCATCATTATTCCATTGGGTATTCTTTAAAAAAAAAATCAGGAAAATTTACACACAAATATTAACTGCAGTGAGTGATGTTGGCAAGGGTTAAAATCGAAAATAAAAATGTAATAATTACCGACCAACCTTCAGATTACTGAAGTAAAGTCTACGTTTGTTCTCACATGCTAGTATTGCTCCTAAAAACTTCAAATCCGGTATGTCAGTAGGATTGAGAGGATTAATGGTAACAATAACCGAAAGGTCATCTTCTGTAATATAATAAACTTTAAATTAAACCTTCAGTTAAGTTTAAAAAGTATTGAAAATGATGAAAGAACCAACAATGGGAGGCATCATGCTTTTTGGAGAAAAAAAAAATTAATCTATGTTTTAAATTTTTTCACAGAATTTTTGTAAAATTTATATTAATATAAGATAGAACAAAAACTGAAACAGAACTATAGTTTATTCAGGAATAGCTTTTTTCAACCAGTTAGTTCATGAACCACACATTTCTATTTGAGTTGATCAAAAGTCTTAATTTTTGTGAAATAGTTCCTTTCGGGACATTTTGTTTTATTGAACTAAGGCAGTGAACCAGTTTGAAAGAATTTGGTAGTTAATACTTTTTGAAAAAAAAGTTACAATTTTAAAGTGTGTTGTAACTTGTATCATAGGATTTTTGTAAAAGTTATATTAATACAGGGCAGAAGAGGGAGAAAAATGAAAACAAATTATAGTTTACTGAAAAGAAAAGTCAATAGTTCTTTTTTAAGAATAGTTTGTTTGAACCGTTCATGAACTACACATGTCTATTTGAGATGGTCAAAAGCTGTTTTGAGGAATAGTTCTTCCAAAATTCTGTCAAACAAGTTAAAACATACTTTAATATCGTAACAGTTTTTTTTTGGTTCTTCAAAAAGCATGAACTATTTCTCTTACAAACGATTCTTGCCCATCTGATATCTGCAGTTCATGAAGGAACTGGTTCAAACGAACTATTCCCAACAAAGAACTATATTGACCAGCCTCTGTTTTTAGTGAACTTAGATTCTTTTTCTTTTCTAACCTATTTTTAGTTACTATAACTTTTCCAAAACTTCCATGAAACGAGTTAAAACACCCTTTAAAATCATAACAGTTTTTTTGGTTCTTCTAAAGGCATGAACTACCTAGTTCGTTCAAACTAGCTCACTGAACTAGATCAATAAAACGAACTGTCCCAAAAAGAACTATCCCTCTTCATGAATGAACTATTCTCAATAAAGAACTATATGGACTAGTCTTTCTTTTTAGTGAACTATAATCCTATTTTAGTTTTTCCCTTGTGTTCTGTATTCATATAACTTCTATGAAATTATGTGAGATGGTCAAAAGCTGTTTTGAGGAATAGTTAGAATGTGAAACAAGTTAAACACACTTTAAAATTATAACTTTTTTTTACTTCTTCAAAATGCAAGAATTCGTTTGAACTAGTTCAATGCATTTTGAATTTATAACCCACTATCTTGAAGAGTTAGATTAAAACTTTTTGTCTCGTGAGAAACTATATAAAAATTAAAAGTTTACATGCATTTTGGGAATTACCAAAAAGTACAAATACAAAAAATATATGGCGGATGACAGAAGTTATACTAACAAGATGGTTAACTGTAACAAACAGCACAGAATTTTCAGTCTGAACAATAAAATAAGTTTGGGGGAGCATTAAAAATTGAAATCCGTCAGTAGGGATAAATCTACCTAAAAATAATCTTCGGTATCCATCTCTTTTTTGGGGATGTTGTGGATCAATAACTCACGTTTGGCTTTCAATTTCTTTAAGTACAGTCCACAATGGTATAAAATGGTCGACAATGTTTGTAAATTTCTGATAAAGCTGCCTGATAAACGTCAATAGTTCTTTTTTGAGAATAGTTTGTTTGACCTGTTCATGAACTACACGTGTCTATTTGAGATGGTCAAAAGCTGTTTTGAGGAATAGTTCTTCAAAAAGCATGAACTATTCCTCTTAAAAATGGTTCTTGCCCATCTGAAATAGATATCTGTAGTTCATGAAGGAACTGGTTCAAACCAACTATTCCCGACAAAGTTTGGGGGGGGGGGCATTAAAAATTAGAAATCTGTCGGTAGGGATAAAACTACCTAAAAATATTCTTCGGTATCCATCTCTTTTTTGGGGATGTTGTGGATCAATAACCCACGTTTGGCTGTCAATGTCTTTAAGTACAGTCCAAAATGGTATGAGATGCTCGACAATGTTTGTAAATTTCTGATAAAGCTGCCTGAAGTTCATAATCTGAAAACATAAGAATAAAGAAATAAACTGATGATTTGAATTAATAATATGTAAATGAATGTATATTTCGAATTTGTTCATCTTTGAAAAAATGTGAAAACTTGAATGGCCTAATTTTGTACTCACCCCTGAAAGTTCGTTCACCAGTTCACTGGGTACGTCAACTTGAGTTATTACTAAGGGCATCTTCGGATAATCAGTGAATGAAAATTTTATTTGGTGTTTTTCATTTGTACTGTCCACATATGAGACTTTGGCAAACTGAAGATCTTCGTCTAATTCTTCGATATTCTCTTCTTCGATGTCACTTTTCAGTTCTCCGAGAATAAATTTGCACCTTTTCGTCATGTCTTTCAGATGAAACGTATCTTCTGATTTGTCGGGCATGTTTAATTTGCATAAATGTGTAATGGCATTTAAAACTTGACTTAAACTTGAACACTGGAGTAACTATAAAATAAAGTTTAATAGCATTTGTTTAAAATTAAGGAGAAAAAAATCATATGAGGCACCCCAGTAAGGAGCTTTGAAATTTGTCTGAGGACTTTTGACTGGAAGGATTGGATAGCTTGGCAGAAGCCCAGAGGTTTGAGAGCAGTTCCACTGTCCAAAGTGGTCGCAGTAAAGTATTGTATAAGGTTAGTTTAGTGTTGTTTGGTCCTAGAAGTCTTCATAGTTGTCCAAGTCTTCTAATAAGTAATTGTCGCATAACTGTGGTGTGGGGATTCTATGTCAGTCTGGTATAGTCCGGTATCTCTTTGCTGGTGATGTACAGAAGAAGACAAGGTTGTTTTTGTCAATAAAACGTACACACAGTACATTTTTCTCTTCTATCTTGTCTTCCACTTTTTGCACCAGTCTTCGACAAGCTCATGGTGTTGGAGGTAGCCTGGATAGGATTCAAGTTAGAGAACATAGCACATTAACAATTACAAGAATTATGTTCTGAATTCTTATCTCTGTTGATGGACCACAATGTCAAATTGGCCAAAGATTTCAATGACAATGTATACCCAAACAGTCGTATTTATCAGATATTTGCATGAAAATAAATGATGAGTCTTTCTTTACAAAGGGTGAGTTTCAAAACTTTTGATGCTGATGACAAAGTTCGCACCTTCAAAAGAAAAATCCAGTTTTGGAGTGAATCTGTTGAGGTGGAGTGTTTTCTTGTGTTAAATGATTTTTTAAAGGACAACAAACTGGAGCTTGCGAACTTTGATTGATGAAATGTATGAACACCTAAGTTGGAAGATTCCTTTTGAGCACTACTTCCCAGCAGCTTGAGATACAATGTTGCAAGACCATGAATGGATGGCCAAAACATTTTCAGTTTCAACAAAGCCAACCAGTTTATCTTCAAGTGAATATGAATGTTTGATAGACATTACTTCAAACTCAACAAAAATGTGTAAGAATGTCAATCTAATGTTTGTTTTAATAGTACTATACCCTCCATCATCTCGTTAGGAACGGACTGGCTAATTTTAAATGCTTGAAAGCCAGGGGTCCGCCCTGAATTTCGTTCAGAGAAAGGGGCCTGCTGGCTAAAACGTTTGGGAAGCCCTGATCTACCTTTTTGGCAGATTTCTTGGAAATGTTTAAGTCTAAAGAGGAATTAATGGTCTCAATGATAAAATTGTCAAGTTGAAAATATTAATTACAATACATTGAGAGATTTTCTGTGGCCTGTGGCTTGATGAATCTGCCCATCGGATAGGCAGGCCGAAATTACTGGTAACGACCAAATCGTCCAAGATATTACTCCACTCTTATATTGACCGCATCAAATCACTAAACTTACAATCATTTTGAAACGCAATAAAAATAAAAAAAACTTACGTATTCCATCTGTGGATTGATCAATCTCGTCACTTCAGGTGGACAATGTATAGACATGCCTGTCACTGAAGGATATTCAGGTGTGAAAATCGTCAAAGGGAACTGTTCACGCTGCAATTCAAGTAAAACTGGATTAAAATAAATAATGGTGGTTTTGAAAAGGAAGATATTTCAAGAAAGTCCGGAATGACTCAGTATCATTTCATTGCAATTAAAAAAATACTGGTATAAAGCAAGTAAAGTATTGGGCCTAATACTCTCCCTTAGAGCACTCCCGCATTTATTACTTTAACTTCTCTAAGATCTAACAGTATTTATTCCATTTAATTACCTTAATTTTTATGAACCCTTCCCAAGTGGTAAAATCCTTCGACGGTACGATCAGAGGATATTCTAGTAAAATCCCAATCGACTCTTCCATAGTTTTGAAAATAATTTCGAGAATTTATAATTCTGGATAATCACATCACAGTAGCAGTTTTGTGTGGTTGTTATATACCGAACGAAGAACGGTTATCACTTATCACAATTTCATCTGTGCCGGTAGGTGTTTCAAATGATAAACAATAGACGTGAGTAGTTCATGAACGAACTGTTTCAAACGAACTATTCCCGGTACTTTTAGTGAACTTCAGTTATTTTTATTCTTTTCTGTTCTGTTTTTAATAAAACATTGTCAAAAATTCTGTGAAACAAGTTATAACCCACTTCAAAATCGTAACAGGTTGTTTTTGCTTCTCCAAAAACCACGAACTACCTAGTTCGTTTGAACTGCTCACTGAACTAGATCATTAAAACGTACTGTCCCGTAAAGAACTACTTCTTTTAAAAACTGTTCTTGCCCATCTGAAATAGACATGCGTAGTTCATGAACGAACTGTTTCAAACGAACTATTCCCCATAAAGAACTATATTGACCAGCCTCGGTTTCTAATGTAACTTGTATTTTGAACTAATATAATCGTAACAGCTTTTTTTTTGCTTCTCCAAAAAGCATGAACTTCCTAGTTCGTTTGAACTAGCTCACTGATCTATATCAATAAAACGAACTGTCCCAAAAAGAACTATTTCTTTTAAAAACCGTTCTTGCCTATTTGAAATGGACGTGTGTAGTTCATGAACAAACTGGTTCAAACGAACTATTTACGAAAAAGAACTATATTGACCAGCCTGTCTTTTTAGTGAACGTTGGTTCTTTTTTCTTTTATATCCTACTTTTAATTAATATAACTTTTTCAAAAATCTCGTGAAACAAGTTTATCTCTGAAATCGTTACCGTATTTGCTTGCTGCTTCTCCAAAAAGCATGAACTACCTACCTAGTTTGTTAAAACTACTAAGAGGCAAAAAAATTTGCCACCCTTAATATTTTGAATTATCTCTTAGACAATCCTCCATTGATTACCTTACAACAATATTTGGCCCGTTTTAAAGGATTTTTTGTAAAGCTTCTTTCTAACGTTCCGGTGGTTTAACTTTTTTTCGTTATACCATTTTTAAGTTACAAATTTGTTTGAGTGGTGGTTTGAAGCAATTCAGATTCGACTAGAATCAAAGGAAGATGGAAAAAGTCAAGTATATGTGGCCAGGGTGCTTAACTTTCCCAGAACCACCTGTAGAGTCTTACATCGCTACGAGATATTGGAGGTTTCTCAAAAAAGCATGGATCAGGTCGCCATCGTGTGTCACATCTCAGAGAGATAATCGTTTTATTGTTTCGAAATACCTAATCGACATTTTACCGCTGTTGAGTCAAACAACTTCACCAAGTTGGAAATGTTAATGTCAGTTTATGCACTGTAAGGCGAAGAATTTCAGAGGCTGGATTATGTATGAGAAGGCCTGCCACTGGACCAAAACTTCTTACAAGACACAGAACAGCTCGGTTAAGTTTCGCAAGAAGTCGCACCAATTGGTCTGAGCAAGATTGGACTAAAATCTTGTTTTCGGATGAGCCAAGGTTTTGTCTGAGGTCTTCTGATGTCCGAAAGAGTGTTTGGAGCAGAACAGGAGAGCGATATATCCTCGCAACATTCTCACTCCAGAGAAGCTACGGAGAATGGAGAGCTATGGAAGGTCGCACAAATTTGTTCTTCATCGAGGGTTCCCTAAGAGCTGTGTGATACATTGAAGATGTGATAGAGAAGTTGTTTCTTTATATGCCACTAATTGGTGACGGTATTATTTTTATGGTGCTTATGCTTACTTATGCTTCTATAAGTGACAACTTGAAACGGGGTCCAATTCAATTTTGGAGTGGCTAGCATGTAGTTGTAGTTAAAATCTATCGAAGACCTTTGGACGAATTGTCAAAGCGGGTAAAAAGTCTCCCAGTGATGCCAAAGATATTTCAGAAAGTGAAAATGTTGGAGGAGTAAGAAAATATTTCAGAGCATTACATATAAAACCTCCAAAAATCCGGGGTTTCAGGAAGTATTTTGGCGCTTCGTCCTTGCCCAACCTCTGACCTGTACGCCTCCTGTTATCGTACAGAATCCATCATTGCACGTGATGATTTGATCATTTTGGTGGCGCAGCAGTAGAGACGTGCAAATTTCAAAGCGTCGATTTCTTTGGGCTTAGGTTTGTTTATGCGGTACCAACTTGCCGAGCTTCTTTACTTTAGACGGCAAACAACGGTTGAGTCGACAATACTAAGCTTTTCCGCTATTTCCTGTGTTGTCTTACATGAATTTTCACCAATCATCCTTCGCTGTCTTCGAAATCGAAATCTCGAAGATTTAATCATCGCTGCACCGTGCATTCGCTAATGCTTCCCTCTCCCCAAATTCTCTTGATGTTACGTGCGGTTTGGGCCGCACTTCGCGGCAGCTTAAATTCATTCAAATAAATTTGGCGAAAATCTAGTTTGGACATATTTAATTTCGCAGGTCCTCACTCATATAAAATTTTGGTGGTCTAATTGATCAAATTACTTTTTTCAATTAATTATTCTTTTTATGTAAGGTCTCGGTTGACATGAAAAAGTTAGTGTCACGAGCGAGATTCGAACCCACGACCTTCGGCTCAATACGCCGCTGCTCTAACCACTTGAGCTATTGTGACTTCGATCCTCCCGGTCACATACTCCCCATCTCAACTTACAACCTTTCGAATTTTCCTTCTTTTTTGCCATTTTTCAAAATTCGAAAAGGCCGTAACATCCAAACCTTCTATCTTAGGTTAGCTATATCCCTTCTGAGTGTTTTAAGGGCTCTGACTCCAAACTCATTCTATTGCCATCCAAAGTTCTAATTTATCCTTTTAAAATTCTTAATTTGGAATGCCAAATGCATGCAAAAATTCCATTTTAAATTACATATAAAATTTATTCCTGTTTTTTATATTTTTTATTTTGTATATTTTTTATTATTTATGANAATACTATTAATGTATCATTTTAATTTTTGTATTAATTAATAATTTAAAAACAAATTAATCACAAATCTACAATTAATTTCTTACAATATTTATTAATATAATATTTAATTGTGTTATAATTCCCGCTTTTCGCACGAGATAATTGAGCGGCATTAAAATCAGCTTGTCGTTGGAACGTCGCGATGGCCGGCGGGGATCAGTCTTGCAATTCATGTCGAGAGACGTGGTTGTAGAGCTCCTTCAACCTGATGATGAGCTGTGGCTCGAAATCCGGATCGTTGAAAACAACTTACTGTGAGTAGGAACTATCTTTTTAAAAAGATTGAACAACACACTCACTCCACCATTTATCTTTTCTCGCAAATGCAGTTGTTACTGCCAAGCTTTCGACCTATTTTAAAGTCATCATCAGGGCAAACATGACCTTCAAATAATTAATTAATTTGCTTTCTTCTTCAAGACCTGGATACCTTGATCCAGAGAGTTCGTGAGTTGAGGTTGATCATTTTAATACTGATTACTGATTTAAATTATTTACTGATAAGCTCAAATGCACGTACACACATACGCACGAGTAGCACAGTTGAGCCTATCGCTTCTCGCAGCCCATCGGTAATTCCAGCTTATCTAATTTACAATAATTACCGGCAGGCCTCGAAAATCCCCCACCCCGGATGTCAGATCTTCAGCTGTCGAGATTGGGCTCCGGGTGCAATCAACAGCTAGGTATATACGATTCACTCAATCGGATTGGTGGAGTACTCGGTATTCCTCCTTCAGCCCTCTCATACTACTCATTCACGACAATAAATACATTCACTCAATTAGGTGAGTTTTATAGTATGTGTAAAGGTTGTGTTGAGAGTTAGGGAAGTTATTAGCGTTAATGTGTGACGGGAGAGGTTCCATGGCGGAATATCGAGTACCCATCGACCCTCAGTTACGTTAGTTATGGTTAGTGATGGTTAGGCTCCGGGTGCTATCAACAGCTAGATAAATACGATGCTCTCAGAGTGGTGGAGTACTCGATATTCCTCCTTCAGCCCTGTCACACTACACATTCACGCCAATAAATACATTCACTCTCAACACTCACTTGGGGACACATGACTTTCAGTACTATGTACAATAAAACAACCCTGTTTCCTTCAAGATTTTAAACGGGGCAAAAATACTAACTGCAGTGCTCGAATGCAATTCCTGCTTATTAAGCAGCACTATATAACTATTATGACATAACTATAGAGACAGCCACACTGCTCTTCCCCCATATCCCAGCCGGACGCCTCCGCGTGGCCCATCCTGGGGGTGCCAGTTTGGCACCGCAAAGTTCCGGCGGGGGAATTTGACGACCACTAGGCAGGGGAAAGCAAAATGTCACCTGCAAAGCCCTTAAAGGGCCTAGAAGCGAGACAAGTAAAAGAAATCCTAGTGCTCGAATGCAATTCTCATACGGGGTGGCATTTCTACGAGCTCTCTATACAGTTGGTGATATCGGTATAGCGGAGGTAAATACAGATTTCCAATACATAATGTTGTTGAATTCGGGAAAAAACGAGGGGAGTAATGAACTTTCAAGTGAAACTCCGGACATCAAAGAGAATTGACTCAAGGCTGAATTTTACATAAAACAATCTCGCTAATCCAGTCCAAAAATGTTATTTTTTGTTTGCGGTGAAAACGCAATTTAACGGTTTTACGGGGTTCTTAAAACAAATTCGAATTGTATCTTTAAAAAAATCTTTTTTTTTCTTACTTTACTAAAAGTGGTTTTTGTTTTTTTACCTTTTTATATACTTAATCGCATTTAATACAATTCTGCTAATTATCTTCTTATCCGGTGTAAAAAGCAAATCGACTGATATGTAATAACATTGATATGCATGCACAACATATATACAAAAAAAAACTTTCAATAAACTTAAATTTTTAAAACACTTGCGTAGTTTTCCTTGATTTCACCCTTATTTTTCTCATTCGAAATTATATAAAATCTAAACTTTGTAGATGGAGGCTTAAAGTATAACAATCCAGCTTTTTAACGGTTGTAATTAAATTGAATTTAGAAATAATCCAGAGGAGTTCTGAATTTTTATGTGGAACAACATGAAATTGGAGACGAAAAATATTTTTTACCTTACTTACTGAAAGTGGTTTTTGTGCCTTTTTATATGCCTAATCTCATTTAATACAATTCTGCTAATTATCTTCTTAAACTGTGTAAAAGGCAAATCAACTGATATGTAATAACGTTGATATACATTCATAAAAAATATAGAAAAAACATATTTTGGATAAATTTAAATTGTTAAAACGCTTGATTTCACCATTTATTTTACAGGCGAAAAATATAATAATCCAGCTCTTTAACGGTTGTAATTAAATTGAATTTAGATATAATCCAGAGGAATTATGAATTTTTATGTGGAACAACCTGAAATTGAAGACAAAAAAATGCCTCAGGCTAGTTCAGCCCAAAAACATCTATTTTTTTATTTACGATTAAAAGCCTTATTTAACCGTTTTACAGGTTGCTAAAAAAAATCGAAATTGGATTTTTCAAAAACAAATATTTTTGCCTTACTTTACTAAAAGCGGTTTTCGGTTTTTTTGCCTTTTTATATACCTAATCTCATTTAATACAATTCTGCTAATTATCTTCTTAAACTGTGTAAAAGGCAAATCAACTGATATGTAATAACGTTGATATACATTCATAAAAAATATAGAAAAAACATATTTTGGATAAATTTAAATTTTTAAAACGCTTGATTTCACCATTATTTTTCTCAGTCGTAATTAAAAAATCTAAAATTTGTTGATACAGGCGAAAAATATAATAATCCAGCTCTTTAAAGGGTTGTAATTAAATTGAATTTAGATATAATCCAGAGGAATTATGAATTTTTATGTGGAACAACCTGAAATTGAAGAAAAAAAAATGCCTCAGGCTAGTTCAGCCCAAAAACATCTATTTTTTTATTTACGATTAAAAGCCTTATTTAACCGTTTTACAGGTTGCTAAAAAAAATCGAAATTGGATTTTTCAAAAACAAATATTTTTGCCTTACTTTACTAAAAGCGGTTTTCGGTTTTTTTGCCTTTTTATATACCTAATCTCATTTAATACAATTCTGCTTATTATTTACTTTTCTGTGTAAATAGCGAATCAACTGATATATAATAAGGTTGATATATATGCACAACAAATATAGAAAAAACATACGTTGAATAAATTTAAATTTTTAAAAAATTTAGCGAGTTTTCTTTGTTTCATTTATTCGACTTATTTTTCTCACTTTTATCACACAATATCTAAACATTTCTTGCATAGGCAGACATAGAACAATCATACTTTCATATTCTAGGTTAAAAAAAATCGACTGATATATATTAACGTTGATGTACATGAACAACAAAAAAATAAACCAAATATTTAAATAACTGCAAATAATTTTTTCCTCTCGGCTCCTAGGGCCCATGGTCAAGAAAGCTCGGACACTTTTCTAATTTCACCCTTATTTTTTTCAGTCGTCATTATACAAAATCTAAAATTTGTTGATATAGGCTAAAAGTATAACAATCCAGCTTTTTAACCATTGTAATTAAATTGAATTTAGATATAATCCAGAGGAGTTATGAATTACAGTTTTACCGGGTGCTTGAAACAAATCCGAATTGGAGTTTTCAACAAAATCTTTTTTTGCCCTACTTTACTGAACATGGTACCTTTTTATATGCCTCATTTAATACAATTCTGCTTATTACCTCCTTATCCTGTGTAAAAATCAAATCAACTGATATATAATAACGTTGATATACATACACAACAAATATAGAAAAAACATATTTTGAATCAATTTAAATTTTTAAAACACTTGCTTAGTTTTCCTTGATTTCACCCATATTTTTCTCAGTCGTTATTATATGAAATTTAAACTTTCTTGATATGGGCTAAAAGTATAACATTCCAGCTTATTAACGGTTGTAATTAAATTGAATTTAGATATAATCCAGAGGAATTATGAATTTTCATGTGGAACAAAATGAAATAGGAGACGAAAAAATTGCCTCTGGCTTATCCAGACCAAAAATGTATATTTTTTATTTGCGGTGAAAAGATTTGTTTAACGGTTTTAGAGGGTGCTTAAAATAAATCCGAATTGGAATTTTTTTGCCTCACTTTACGGAAAGCGGATTTTGGTTTTTGTGTATTTTTATATACCTAATCTCATTTAATACAATTCTGTTTATTATTTTAATTTCTTAGGTAAAAAAACAAATCCATATATAATAATTTAAAGATCGAATAAATACACTCTGTATTGCGTGATTGTTCTGTTTAAAACCAGTTGTTATTACAACTAGCCCTTTCCTCTGTCTTCTCTCAGTACAAACGCATCCCTCATTCCACTGTATTGTTGTTTCATCTGTGTTTTCATATTGTCTTTTCATACATGATGTATTTTCATTAAGAAAATAAGGGGTTGAACTTTAATAATCTTTTAGGTTAATTATTGTCAGATTGACTCAAATGAGATTTTGCTTATTCGCCAGTTTCTGGATTCTGCCTCTTGTTCACTTTCTCTCAATAAATTAGTTTATTTTGTAGTCACACGATGTAAAAAAAGTCAAAAACACTTCAATATCATAAACAAATAAATTAATCGTAATTTAAGGCCGCCGATAAGATTCGAAAGGCATAGTTAAGCACTTTGAAGGATAGTGTTCGAGTGAGTGGTCGCTCGGGGTGGTTTTTATTAGAGGACGGATCGGAAGGGGGGGGGCGGTTCGAAAATGGGTATAAAAGGGAGGGAACGGTCCTCAGACGGCCACTAGTGTAGTTGACTCTCTCTCACGACAATATCGTTCACAAGGTAAGGAAGGACACGATCACGATCTCAATGCCTACAAAAACCATATGGGTTATTTTCTCAAGCCATTGTGTATTAATCATTACGTTAGAACACTGGCATATATAATATCTGATAAGGTCAGAGAAAATTTTTTTTTGACATACTAAAAACACAGACTTGTCGAATGTGGAATTTTCACTGTAATTTTACTATCAATTTTCAACAGACAACTTTCTGGAAAAGATATGTAAAATTTTGCATATGGTTAAAAAACAAATATCGTAAAATGGATTGTTCAATTAATAAGACCAACAAGGTCTTGATCTGAGTCTTCATCTGAGCATCTTTTGGAAATAAAATGGCTTTATTTATCAGTACCAACAAGTTTTTTTTCTGATAAAATTTTATTGATTATGATTAGTATGGACCAAATTTAGAGTGGCATGTGAAGGAGTTTTTAATTTGTTTTTTACCCGGTGGAAAAAGTTCACTATTTGGTGGCAAACTGTCCTACAGGGCAAAGATGCGGGTGTTCACCTGCATTATGGTTGTCTCGAGATAAGGGTTTTATTATCATACCGAAATGTAAGTCATAACTTAAATGTCGGTTTTTTAAATAGCGAATTAATGACACTCTGATGGGGTTGGACAAGAAAAAAGTAATGTTCAAAAATATCGTTTTCTCGTACTCAGAAATTCCGGGACGTTGTCTACCAAGATGTTGAACGATCTTGACCGGTTCTTTTGTATTTGGCAAATATTTCGCTTCTTCTGCTGAAATCATGGGCCATCAGAAAACGATCTTCCGTAAGTCGTGCGTCAAAAGACAACAAAAGTAGAAATAACATTTTGTCTTCCACTTCCAATGCAATTCTTCCAAAACATATTTGAAATAATGCTCTCATTTGATTTAAATGATGTAATGTTTTCTTGGGAAAATCTACCTAGACTGAACTTGTCCTCGACATAACAGAAAGATGAAATATTCAATTTATACTTTTTTATGTGAAGAATACTGCTTTGTCCTCCACTTAACAAAAAGATAAAATATACAATTTTCACTTTTTTATGTCAAAATACTTTTTATCATATTCAGAAATTCCGTGACTCGCGCTTGTCTGCCTCGGTCTGGACCAGTTATTTTGTTCTTGTCAAATATTCCGCTTCTTCTGTTGAAATCATGGACCAATCGAAAAACAATCTTCCCGAAAGTGTGAGTCAGAAGGCAAGAAAAGTAGAAAAAGAACATTTTTCTACCATTTGCAAGGCATAATTTCTAAAATGCATTTGGGCTATATCTATGATTTTGATATAAATTTTGATATAATGGACTGTTTGAAGAAAATCTATCAAGACTGAAACTTTGTCATCGACATAAGAAAAAAATGAAATATTCAATTTATACTTTTTTATGTGAAGAATACTGCTTTGTCCTCCACTTAACAAAAAGATAAAATATACAATTTTCACTTTTTTATGTCAAAATACTTTTTATCATATTCAGAAATTCCGTGACTCGCGCTTGTCTGCCTCGGTCTGGACCAGTTATTTTGTTCTTATCAAATATTCCGCTTCTCCTGTTGAAATCATGAACCGATCGAAAAACAATCTTATGAAAGGTGCGCGTCAAAAGGCAACAAAAGTAGAAAACAAATTTTTTTCTACTATTTCCTTTCAAAATACATTTGAAAAATTTTCTGATTTGATATAAAGGATGCCCTGTTTACTTGGAAAAAACTACAAGATTGAAACTTTGTCCTAGACATAACAAAAAGATGGAATATTCAATTTACACTTTGATAAGTCAAAAATACTGCTTTGTCCACCATTAACAAGAATATGAAATATTCAATTTTCACTTTTTCATGTCAAAATTCTGGTTTGTCCTTCTCAGAAAGTCCGCGACTCGGGCTTGTCTGCCTCGTTCTTGACAGGTGTGTCAAAAGGCAACAAACGTAGAAAAAAAAGAATATTTCGCTACAGCACCCCCTATTTTTTTAAACGTTTCCAATGCAAATTTTCCAAAACACAATTGAGATTTATCTCTGATTTTGATATAAAGTTTAAAGGTATGCTTGGGAAAATCTGCCAAGACTAAAACTTTGTCCTCGACATTACAAAATGATGAAATATTCAATTCACACTTTGATATGTCAAAAATACTGCTTTGTCCACGACTTAACAAGAAGTTGAAATATTCAATTTTCACTTTTTTATATCAAAAGTACTGCTTTGACCTCCATTCAACAATAAGAGGAAATAGACAATTTTCATTTTTTTAAGTCAACATATTGTTATTCGGAAATCGTGAGATGCGGTCTGGTGTGATGTAGGTTTCAGAAAAACATTTTCTTTATCGTGCCAACGTTTCGATCTTTATTGAGATCATCTTCAGGGCCTGGGATTTACAAACATTGTTTAAATTTAACAAATACATTTAGGATGTGTAAAAAAGTGAATTTATACAATGCAAAAAAAAATATATATTTTTTTTAAATTCAATCAAAGTATTTCTACTCACTCAAAGTGTTTGTTTTCTGCGTAATCCCAGGTCCTGAAGATGATCTCAATAAAGATCGAAACGTTGGCACGATAAAGAAAATGTTTTTCTGAAACCTAGATCACACCAGAACGCGAGAATCTCACGATTTCAGAATAATTATCGACTAACGGTCACTAATCGCCACACATTTCAACATATTGTTTTATCCTTCTCAGAAAGGCCGCGACTCTGGCTCGTCTGCCTTGTTCTTGTCCGGTCATTTTGTTTTTGTCAAATATTCCGTGTCTTCTGTTGAAATCCTGGACGAATCTTAAAACAATCTTCCAAAAGGTGTGCGTCAAAAGGGAAGAAAAGTCGAAAAAAAAATTTTTCTACCATTTCCAATGTAAATATTCCAAATTATATTTGAAATATTTCTCTGATTTGATATAAAGGATGTCCTCTTTCTTGGGAAAATCTGTTAAGGTTGAAACTTTGTCCTCTACCTAACAAGAAGATGAAATATTGAATTTACACTTTGTTACGTCAAAAATACTGCTTTGTCCACCAATTAACAAGAAGATAAAATAATCAATTTTCAATTTTTTGTGCCAAATACTGTTTTATCGACACCAAAAGTGGAAAAAACCCTCGTTTTTCTACAGTTTCCAATGCACATCTTCCACATCACATTTGAAATATTTCTCTGATTTTGTATGAAGGATGTCCTGTTTTCATGCGGAAATCTACCAAGATTGAAACTTTGTCCTCGACAAAACAAAAAGAAGAAATATTCAATTTACAATAATACCTCACTTTTTCAGTTTTACTCTCTTACCAAACACCTCTTTTACGTTACCTCTCCTCTTTTCTTTCTGGAAATTAATAATTTTCTTATTATGTTGTGCAAGCCTTATTGATTTACCCTAGAATTCTCAATTCCGAGAACAATAGCCAAGTTGTTAGCGGGTGACTCCGACGGACTTGGGCCCTAAGTTGCGTCTACGTCTAGATTTAGCACCCTGCAGAAATGGTGAGTCCCTCTTGGATTATTCTCGGGCCGAGATATATCTCAGATTTTGAACTAAATGGTATCCTGTCTTCTTGAAAAAAATCCATCAAGGCTGAAATTTTGTCTTTGATTTAATGAAAAGATGAAATATTCAATTTACACTTTAATATGTCAAAAATACTGTTTTGTCCTACACAGAAATTTCGTGGCTCGGGCTTATCTGTTTCGTTCTTTTGGTTTTTCGATTATTCCGCGTCTTCTGCTGAAATACTGGACCAATTCCGATTAATCTTACTAAAGGTGTACGTCCAAATGCAACAAAAGTGAAATAAATTTTTTCGATCATTTCCCATATAACTTTTGCAAAATACATTCGACATATTTCTCTCATTTCGACATATAGGATCTCATATCTTTTTGAGAAATGTTTCGATTTTTTGTCATTATTAGTGAAAAAAGGTAAGGATGAAATCAACGAAAACTTCTCAAAAGTTTTCATTTCATAATATATCTCCAATTCTTATTTATTTACGAAGGCCAAATTGATTAACGTGGAGTTTATAGGTTTCTAATCCGGTGGATTTGCAAGTTTGCAAGTGGGAAAGAAAAGTAGATTAAAAAAATTTTTTAAGCAAAGTTGATTGTCGTTTTTCAGCTACTGAAAAATTCGTTAATACAAATTTTTGGGAATTTAAAAATAAATCCTACCATAATTTTTCGCCTCCCATTTTTTTTGACAATAAAAAAATGATGATAACTTTGAAAAGACTCCACCGCTCCATTGAAAAGTTTATAGGAACTTAGCACCTTTTAATCTATGCGTATTGGCTAAACCTGGTCGTGGGGAAACCAGAACCTGATACATAAAATTAAACGTTACAGGCATTCCTGTTGACTTCATCATAATTTCTTATGGCGTAAAAACCAATAGTTGATGACATCGGTCCAAAGGCAATATATCCAGCATACCAACGGTTGTAATACCCTTGAATTTTGATAAAATCAAGGCGAGTTATGAATTTTTAAGTAGAACCCCAGACGTCAGATACTTAAGAAATAAGAAATTGACTCCAGGCCGATCTACCTAAAAAAAAGTCAGCATTTTTGTTAACTATAAAAATTTGTATTGAAGGAGTTTTTACATGTATAAAAACAAGAAAACAATTTTTTTGGGGCTAACTTTACTAAGAGACTTGATTTTTGTAATTTTTTACACATCTCATTTCATTTGATACAATCCTGTCTATGTAGCGTCTGAGCAAGATAGCGAATTTTTTTTTTTCAAAAACAAAGTTTATATTCGTTTATTTGTGCTTGAACACGGCTGCGAGTGTTTGGGCCCCCGTTCCGATTGATTCTTGGAGGAAACGGTGTTGATCTATTGCATATATATAGTAATAATAGTATGTATACAACAACTAGCTTGTGTCGAAAGTGAATGTATTTATTAGCGTGAATATTGTGAGAGGGTCATTGGCGGAATATCGAGTCATAAAAATTCATATGTAAGGGCTTTATGTTATGCTT